CGGCACGTGGCCCGCTGCCTGGCCGCGTCCGGCGTTGTGCTCGCGGCTCCCCGCGCGCCTGCGGAGCGGGGTCGGCGGGGCCGCGCGGAGCAGGTGCGTAGCCGGGCAGACGTTGCCGCGGGCCCCAGGGCGCCTGCCGCGCACGGACCCTGCGCGAAGGGCAGCCCCGGCCCGGCCCGTCCCGGCCCGTCCGTGGCAGCCCTGCGCGGGCGCTCGTGGTCCGGCCCCATGCAGACCCCCGTCAGGGCTCGCGGGCCCCGGCTCGGTGCCCACCGGACAGGGTGCGCTTGGACGCCAGTGCTCTTAGCAGGGCTAGCGGTCCGAGATTCTGTGGGTTTTCCTTGAAAACATCTCCAGTTCGTCAGGTGGGAGAGGCATCCCCTCTGTGTCACAGCCTTCATTTTTGTGTTTGTGTGATGTTTTCCTTGCCCCCAGTTACGATCCTCTCCAGCCCACGTTTTTAGAAAAGCAAGCAGCTGTTAGCGTTCACAAATTCTGTCTGTCTGTCTGTCTGTCCACCATTCCTTACATGCATAAACTCCATGCCCCTCACTGCACAAATGTCTTTCCTTCTGTTTTATGCATAATGCTTCAGTTACTTACCATTCTCCTTGTAACTGCTTGCTGGATCCACACACCTTTTAACATGCTGTTATAAAACACACCCTCAGTCACATGTGATCTAGATATCACTCCATATGCATGCAAACTAATCGTTTCGGAGTATTGCCAGTTAAGCACCTTTTCCTACTTGTTTGCATGGACACCCCCCCCTTCATATTTGCCTTTCTGCTGTGTATTCCTAGAACAATCATCATAGTATTAATAGTGTTTTCCACATTCCTGAGCTCAAGACCCTTGAGTAAGTCTGTGAAAGTCTGACATGCTTTTGCTCGCTCGCTCGCTCTCAGTCTTTCAATACTTTGCAGCCCCAGCACTTCAGAACTGAAGGGACTTTAGCCTCAGTGCCTGCACTCCTTTGCCACAGTGTGTATGTGGGAGGGGTGGTGCAGAAAGAGCTGAGTTGACTGGAACTGATGGGAGTTGGAGGGAGGAATACAGTGTTGTCCTGCTGCTGACAACGGCTTCCATCAGTAGAACCAGGATGCAGGCTGTTCTCTCCCTTGCGGAGCCCCATGTGCCCCCAGACCTACTCAATAAGTTGGGAAGTCCTTTCAGGTTTACAAGTGGTACTAACAGCTGCAAATGGGAGAGGAAGCAGGCCCCAGTCTTACTGCTTATTTTAAACTAATTGCAAACCATGAATATTCATGAGAGAGAACTTTTACAGGAAGCTGGGTTTTCGCTCCCTTTGGTTTGTGGATTAGTTTTCATGGGCAAAGAGAATGGATATTTTGGAGCCAAAATTGATTCTGCAGGATGAAGTGTTCAAGACTTCCAGTTCTTTTGCCACATCTCCAAATCAATTTTGAATCAATATTTGTAATGGCTTTGTTTGTGCACGGTTCACATAAGATAGTATCCGGCAGTGTCCCAGTATTAGCACTAATGTCCTTGCACTAGTCTGAACATGCACTTGTGCAGTATAAGTAGTGAAATAGGAAAAAGTGGTGGTTTGTTAGCAGAATTTGGCAGAACAGAAGGAAAAAAGAGTATTTTTTCAAAACGAGATGCAAGGTTCATAAGCCTAATTTTTGATGCCCATTTTTGCTGTTAACACTACTGAATGTCAGCAGCAAATGCCTGTTTTTTTCTGCTGCTCTAGCAAATCAAAACTATATTGCACAAACACTGTTTTACATAAAAGCACCATATGATTAGCACTTCTGCATAGCTAGATACTACCCAAGGAATGCTGCTTCTTTACATTGAAAGGGTGCAATTCCATTTAGAATAGTTGAATAAGTGTTCTTGAGACCATTATAGGCATAGAAACAGAGCGAGTCAGAAGGGGTCTCCTGGGCCATCTAGTCTGACCCCCGGCTCCAGCCGGCTCCGCTCACAGCATGCCCACCATGTGCATGTCCAGCCTGTCCTTGGACGCCCGCACCGATGGGGCCTCAACGACCTGTAGGACTGTACAAGTATGTATGTATGTGAGATGGAGTGGTGATGGGACAATTCTACATCATCACCGATGGGCCAAAAATGTATCAGGTGTTTTGGAAAGGGTCCTTTAAAATTAATCCATATAATTTGCAAATAAGAATAGTTGATGTGTATGTCTTATTCCTCCATCTGTGTAGTACTGGCTCCTTGGAAGAAAACTATCCAGTACTGAGGCTTCAAGCTTTAATTTACACTTTCAGAACAGTTTTTAAAATAAGATTTACATCCCGCTTTTCCTTTGGGTATTTCAAAGAAGTTGATGTGAGGCTTTCAGGAAATATCTGAAGCAAGCCATCACCAGGCTGAGAAATGATTGGCTTTAACAGTAAACTTGTGGTTTTTTAGAGAAGTTCAGCAGGGGCAGGTTGACATGTGGTGGCCAAAATAATTTATTTATCGGTAGAAGCTTTGAAGAAGCAGAAGGCAGTGCCGCCTTTCTTCCCAGACACTTGTTAAGGCTCTTCTCAGCAGAGCTGCCCACAAAACATTTCGGCCCATAAATAGTATGTACCTCGTTGTTAAAAAATTAAACCGGAAGCTGTGAGGGCCACAGGTTGACAGGCACCTAACAGCTAAATTGCACCTGCTGGTTGGTTCCACATGACATACTAAGCCACTGTGACTTCGAAGCCATGGTGGCTAAACATGTCCAGACCTGGAATGTGTGCCTTATAAGCCATCCAGAGAAGGCATGGCATGGCGTATGGTTTTGTTTGCCCCATGGTGGCTTGCCATCTTGTTTGAACCCAGATGGCGTGACCAGCGAGAGACTGAACCCCAGAACCAGCCAGCCAGCCCGCCAACGTGGCCACTCTTGCCCAGTGGTTCTGGATGAGTGCTGATGACAGCTGCCCAAAAAGTCCCCGAGTGCCGTCAGCTTCTCCACTGCTGCACCACTCCCCGAAGCCCCACCTGGGGAGGGAGCACTCGGGTACCACCAAAAACACCCCCCCCCCCAGCCAGTAACGGCATTGAGAAGCAGCATGTGATGGCGGTGCTTCAGCTGTGCCTCGGTTGCCTCCTTGAAGCTAATCATAGAAGAGTAGAGCTGGAAGGGGCCATGAAGGCCATCAAGTCCAACCCCCTGCTGTTGCAGGACACCGCGTCACACCGTTGGCATATTGCTTGTTTCCCCCCCTCCTGGTTTGGTGTGGTAGCTGCCAGGCAGTGGCGGGAGTGCATTTTATGCAACCTCCTCTTGAGCGGGTCAGGCAGAGTACAACTTGGATCTGTCACGTTGGGCAGGAGACAGCCATGTCCCTGCCTGCTCTCGTGGGCTGCAGCATAAGCAAGGAAAAGGGCCCCCTGTTCTGCTGCCCCCTAACTGCTGCCTTTGGGGGGCAGGAGGGGTGGGCGCCTCCATAGCCAAAATGTGCCCGATGGTCTGTCAGGAGCGTGGTTGGTCTCACAGTGCGCTTTGATGTGTTGTGTGAAGCTAACCAGCATCTCTTCCAGGCCAAATAGCTTAAGGAGCAGCTTAACTTTGTGTGGATGGATTGACTTTTCACAGGCATGAAGTACCAAGTATGCCCAAATCTTTTCTTCAGTTACCTAGGAGTAAGACCCATTCAGTTTTTACTTCTGAGTAACCATGCGTCAGATCCCACTATCAAAGTGCAGGCCAGAGGATAAGCAGATTTACGACAGCTTTTACAGAATTTTCCACACAGACAATTGAACTGAAAACAAAAGTTATTTGAATAGCCGTGCTTTTCCTCTGCACAGAAATGAGAAGTTTCCCATTCATTTAAGTTTTGCTTTCTCTAAGCCAACACGAATTGTGCTTTCACTTATTTTAGCCTTTAAACAGATAAATAGTACATTATTTTCTTACTCACACCCGGGAAAATTGTACCCCATACAGAGCCTTTCATCTGCCCAGCCCCTACGATCTGATCAGTGCACAAGCTTAGTGTTTGGCAGATGCCAAGACTACAGATGGGTGGAGAAGTTCATCAAGGGGAAGCCATGCAAATAAGGGATCATGGGAAAGTATATTTTTCCCATCATGAAGTATGTATCAGTAGCATATCCTAGGGAAAAGGAAGAAATCAACAGTGGTGGCTCTATAAGCTGCTGGAAAAGAAATTAAGTATTCCTAGCCTCCCAAGTATGATAATTTAGGATTAAATATCTTGCATTCATCCTCTGAATTGCTTTTGTGTCCCCCATATGGTGCATTTGAAGGAAATATCAGGGCTGATGACTTTAGGACAGGGAAGGGAAGCATATGCCCCTCCCCCCAGTTTTTGTTGGACTGGAACGCCCATCATCCTTGAGTGCAGCTAATGGTGTGGGATGATGGGAGCTGTAGTCCAACAACATATAGGTGGGTGCCACATGTTCTCCACCTCTGCTTTAAAAGTTTGTCAGAAAATTTCTAAATTATTGCCTCGAATGTAAGACTGTTCAAAATAAAAATGTTATCATTTGGCCAGTATGTGCTTTAAAAGATTAGCTCTGTTGAACCTTCAGATTCCCCTTTTCTCAAAAGGTACGTATGTGTTCAGACTTTCTTGACAATTTTGAAGGCCCTATTCCAAGTGCCCATGGCAAAGAAGCCTAGGCAGATGGCTGCAAAAGGGAGGGGAAGGAGGAAAGGAAAGGAAAGGAAAGGAAAGGAAAGGAAAGGAAAGGAAAGGAAAGGGGCCTCTTGGTTGTGGCCTGTCACTTGTAGCATCCCAGTGAAGTTCGTTTGTTTACATTGTTATGCTGTCAGTGCCAAGCAAAAACCATTCTAGGTATTTTAAAGACCTAGTTTTAGATTTTGGGTTTTTTTTTCCTATTTCTATGCTGAGTCTTTTGTATTATGTTTATATGTTTGAGTAATTGTACTTCAGCTGTTCATATGTTAGTCTTTTAGCTGCCTGTAATCCATCCAGAATACTCTGGTTAATGGGCAAATTAAATATATAACTAAGTGAATCTAAAACAGGACAACTGCTGAATGTATTCCTGTTTTCTAGAGCAAGGAAAATAGTGAAGGGTTCCTTGTAAAAAAGACGGCAATAAGAATTTGCAATTCTTAGCAGTATCTCCGCATCACTTTCACAAATCACTTTTATTTATTGTTGGATCCTTATCCCTCCCATTAGCTGTAAGGGTCCCTGAATTAACTGAATAAGAGCTTGTCTGGATTGCATAAGCATTCGGTTTTGATACTTTATTGGAGGATATGCAGCGGATACGCAGGTTCTTGAAATGACAACCAAGAGTTTGTTGTCAGTAACTCTGTACTACCTTTAATCTCTATTCTACTTGTATAAAACCAACCAACTTTTGTTCAGGTTCAACAGCAAGTCCATCCCAACCTTTCAGCCAAGGAAGATTCCCTCTGTTACATCGAGGAGTTAATCCTTCAGCTGCTAAACAAGCTATGCATCGCACAGCCTCGGACTTTTCAAGATGTGGAGGTATGAACTGCTGTACATGTAAGGGAGAAAACAGGGGGAAACATTATGTCCAGGAAGAAGAACAAGCCGCAGGAGAGAGGGTTGTGCTTCCCCAGACAAATAGACTGGGTACCAAACATGTTTGTGCAGCCCCCTGGCTTATGGGCAGAGCAGTAGTAGCAGCCTCTGGTGCGAGCAGTGTGTTAAGCAGGACTGGCCAGCGTAAGCTATTATTTACAGTGAGCACAATGAATCGTGCGGGGGGGCTACACGGGAGAGCGTCTTTCCTTTGAAAAATCGCTGTAAATCTTTGTGTTCTGTGGGTGGTATTTAATGGCGATGCGTTACTGGTATGAAACATATTGGAGGAACTGCTTTTCTGCTGCCATAAACGAATTTTTTGAGGATCTATGATAGTATGCATTTTATTGACCTCGAATGTTGTGTTCGGTTCATTGCACTCTACTGCTTCATATTTATTTATTTAAAACATTTCTATGCTGCCCCCATGGCAACAAAGCCTTAGGGCGGCTCACAACAAAAACAGCATATACATATATAACTATTATACAACAAAAATATTAAAACCCGGTGCATCTCGGCTTAAAAGATTTAAAATCCTATAAATACCAATAAATTAACAATTAAAATAAGTTTTAAATAAAAAGGTCTTAGCCTGGCGCCGAAAAACAAATAACAATGGCGCCAGGTGGACCTCTCTGGGGAGCACATTCCATAGATTGGGCGCCACCGTAGAGAAAGCCCTCCTCCGGGTACTCAGGACAGTGTTCTGAAATGCAATTTGAGAAAGTGTGTGGTTGGAATTAAAGATAGTTTGGAGGTGAGGGTCACTGCCTCAAAGAAGAAATTCCATTGCTCTTGGGGCTGCTGAAAGAAATAGGCTATGCTCTTTTCTCCATTTTCTTTGGGAGCCCAGCAGCTGTTTTCAACTCTATTTCCTATGTTTGGACAGGAGCGTGTTCAGAAGACCTTTCCTCACCCAATTGACAAGTGGGCAATCGCGGATGCCCAGTCGGCTATTGAAAAGCGAAAGAGAAGAAACCCTCTCCTCCTGCCAGTTGATAAAATACATCCTTTGTTAAAGGTGTGTTTTATTAAGGGCTGCCAATAGGTATTTTTAAGATCTAGTCATTTAGGGCTGCAATCCTGCCTACATGCATCTGAAAGTAAATTCCATGGACCTACCCACTAGGATTGTGTGAAATTGTACTGATAATATGTATGTTTTTATATGTTCAGCCTGTCTCTTCCCTTAATACCAGTTGAGGGTCTTTGAGATGATCATGCTCTGCCTTGGAACATACGAAGTAACAATTAAAAATGTCCCTGGGTCAGTGCTGTGTACCTTCTTTTCCTCAACAAGGAAGTACAAACAGCCCCAGTTGCAACATTTATAAGCAGGCATCCCTCCTGCTCAGTGGTTTCACAATAAGCATATTCTGATACTGAAACAAGGAAAGAGGATGTTGGAAGAGACAGAAAGGCACCGACTTCTCTGTCCAGGGACTGCAGCATCTTTCTCCCAGCCAGGTGGCGGGTGTTCGACGTATCAGTCGCTGCTGTTTCTTTACTGACCCATAATTGGGCCTTGCTCCACCTGCCATCTCTTTTCCCAGCCACCTTTCGCCCTTTGCTCATATAAGAACAGAGTACATGAAATCTTATGCACGCTTCTTTCTGTTAACTTTCAGGAGGTTCTTGGTTATAAAATAGATTATAATGTGTCCCTTTACATTGTGGCTGTTCTGGAATATATCTCTGCTGACATCCTAAAACTGGCTGGCAATTATGTTTTCAATATTCGGCACTTTGAGATCTCCCAGCAAGACATTAAAGTATCAATGTGTGCAGATAAGGTAAGGTGCCGTGGGAATTCAGGGCTTATTCAAGCACTTTGTATCATATGCATCCAAATTAATTATGAGTTTGTAACTATTATCTTTTTTGTTTCGGCTAGATAACTGGCACCTTGCCCTGATTTTGAAAATTTTCTTGTTTATTCCTGTCCAAAGATGCTGTGAATGCCTATCCCTGCAACATACTAATTGAACCAAAACAGAATTGAATTTAGAAACAGAAATCAGCATAGAAATTTTGTGGTTTCCAGTCAGGTAGTAGCTCCATACTAAATTAATTCTGCTAACACTTGGTCATGTATAAAATGTGTCTTTTTTAGGTGTTGATGGATATGTTTGATCAAGATGACATTGGCTTGGTTTCTCTCTGTGAGGAAGAGCCCTCTTCTTCTGGTGAACTCCACTATTACGATCTTGTTAGGGCTGAAATCGCAGATGAAAGACAGTATTTGCGGGAGCTGAATCTGATCATAAAAGTATTTCGAGCAGCTTTCCTCTCTAACAGAAAGTTGTTTGCACCTCATGTAAGTCAGTCTCTTGCCATGCAAATCGTTCAGTGTTTAAACACTTGTGCAGTTCAAGCCATAATCAGCTGATGAGCTGTTGATAAAATGGAATGGTGAATTGGGAAACATTTTCCTCCAAATGTCTTATTCCAAAGAATCGGAGAAATATACAGCTTTGGGGTTGGAGTGCATTTTGGGAAGGCAAGAATAGAGTCAGAACAGGATAGGTTTAAAATCTGTTGACCTTCCAGTAAATACCTGTGGGTGAGAACTTTTTTGTATTAACGTAAGAGCTACACCATGAGTCTTGACCTCTTGCAAGAAATTATCTTAAAATAGCATATTTTTAAGGGAATTTTTGCTGTTTTCAGGAGCCCAAGGCATATATGTTTCTGCTACAACAACAAAATGTGGGGGTGAAAAATCAGTGTGTACATACCATAATTTTGAATCCCTCTTATTCATTCGTTTTCTGTACCACCCAATGACTGAAGCTCTCTGGGTAGTTTACAGCAGTTTCTAAAACAGAATGTAATACAATGAAGCACTTTTTTCCAAAATACAGAGTTTAAAATTGAAAAATTCAACAGCTGAAATGTAATACAGAATAGATTTACATAGAAACGGGGTGAGTCAGAAGGGGTATCCCGGGCCATCTAGTCTGACCCCCGGCTCCAGCTGGCTCTGCTCATGACGTGCCTCCCATGTGCATGTCCAGCCTGTCCTTGAACACCCTCACCGTTGGGGCTTCAACCACCTCCCGGGGAAGCCCGTTCCACACCCTCGGGGACCTAACGGTCAGGAAGTGCTTCCTGGCATCCACCCTGAATCTTGCTCCATTGGAACATGTCCTGCCCTCCACTGCAGGGGGAAAAAGGGTCACAACTCACCTCTGCATGGCACCCCCCTCATTACCAGGTCCCCTGTTAACAGCCTCGGTTTCCCCAGCGAGCCATCAACGGATGCCTCTGGGTGCCTCAGCATTGATGGCTGTCTCAGGCTGGCTTCAGAAGAATGACAGAGTTGCTACCAGGCAGGCTTCCAGGGCAGGTCACAGGAGTGGGGGCCCTGTTGAGAATGCCGCGTCCCCCACTGCTGTCCTCCACGCCTCCCTCAGGGTTGGTACATGCCTCAGAAGTGGATCATAGTGTCTGGGTCGATTACAGTTAGGAGAGGTACTCCACCAAGTATTGTGGTACAAAACCATAGAAACACAGAAACAGAGTGAGTCAGAAGGGGCCTGGGTCTCATTTGTTCAAAATTTCTGGTCCAGTTGTTAATATGACTACTGCATTTTGTATAAGCCACAAATCCGTAAGGGCAGCCCCAGACAGAGCGCATTGCTGTGATCTGATTCAGTGATTGCCTAGGACAGATTCCGGAAACCAGACCAACTCTGTCCAGATAGGATGGTTGCTAGACCACTAGTCAAAGCTACCTGATGGCATTCATGCCACTGAGGCAACCTGACAATGATGGTGCGACAGGTACAATTTATAACAAATCCCCAAATGTTGCAGTGTACAATGAACCACCAAATGCCTTTTACAAATCTTGCATATTGTCTTCTGAAAGTGTTCCAAGCGCAACAGAAGGAGAAATTCCTCTGCAGGAGCCTCACTGAAATAAATGCTATTTGCATAAAAGGACAGCATTTCTACTGTTGGAGGAATATGGACACAAACATAAGATTGATTGATTGATTGATTGATTGATTGATTAAAACATTTTTATGCCGCCCCCATCGCAACAAAGCCTCGGGGCGGCTTACAACAAAAACAGAGTTATACAAAGTTATACAAAAACAAAGTTACACAATAAAAATATCTGTGCAGGATCAGACCAAGGGTCCATCCAGTCCAGCATTCTGTTCAGCTGGTGGCCAGCCAGTTGCCCATGGGCTCCCACGAGCAGGACATGCGTGCAGCACCACCCTGTCCCCCCACTCTCCAGCCACTGGTGTGCCACCTAGGGTGCTGGATCTGCACGGCGCCTCTGATACTCGGAGTAGCTGGGTATACTGCGCGTATGCTGAAGGGGTTGCAAATGAATTTCCATTTCTATGAATAGGGTCATGTAGGATTCTGTGGCCTTGCAGACCATTCAAAAACAAACTTCTTTCTGGAGATTTATACAAGTGCAGATTAGCAACCAGCAATAAAATTCTTGTACTCCCTCCCACCTCCAACCCCCCTCCCATTCAGGCAGCATGGTTAACGGTACAAATGACCCGACCATCCATGAAACACAGAGAGACCAGGTTTAATAAGATCCGTGCATTCTTAATTTCTACCGTGAATCCTTTTCCCTTCAAAAAATAAAGCAAGGACTTAGCCAGCTTTCAGAGGGGACCAGGAGACTCAAGGAAAAGGATACTGTGCAGAATCGTCATATGGGGCTGTATCCGGCACCGTTGCTGTACTCAGAGTGTTGCATAAATGGGACCCATGAGTCATGCAAGAGAAAGCTAGCAGTTCAAGAAGTCATGCAGGGCACAAGTCAGGCCAGGCCAGGTCAGGTCAGTGGAGCGCCTTCGGCACCGACCTGCCCTTTCCTGGAACAAGCGTGCCTGCTTGTGTCGGGCTGCCTTTAAAGACTGCTCACTTCCCGGTGCCGTTGATAGATCCAGAGGCTACATGTTCAGGCTTGGATAATGAGCACTAGCAAGTTATGAGAACACTGTGAATTGCATGGAAGCCCTGCTGTCTGCAACAGCCTGTGATGTCTTCTTTCATCTTCCCTCTCCATCTGGTTGAAATCCCTGCACATTTTTAACCAAATAGTTGAATATTTAAATGATAGTAGAGAGTTGCATATGCACATTCAAGATGGCTTCTCTTTTCCTCAGGATATTGACATGATATTTAGCAACATCTCCGATATCCATGAATTGACAGTGAAACTTTTGGGATTAATTGAGGACACAGTGGAAATGACCGATGAAAGCAGTCCTCACCCCCTGGTCGGTAGCTGTTTTGAGGACCTCGCAGAGGTGAGTTAGGCAAGCTGTTCAGCTTGTTATGCTGGTGAGCATGATGAGTTTAAAGCCCCTGCTGGATCAGGATATGTGTTTCCTGCACTGGAGGATCCCTCCACCCCATAACATAAGCTCTTAGCTTATTAAATGGAAATACGTTTGACTAATATGCTAGATTAGAGGAGCTCGACCCTGACTGCTCTTTAGAAGGCCAGAACCTGAAGATGAAACTCAAATACTTTGGCCACCTGATGAGAAGGAAGGACTCCCTGGAGAAGAGCCTGATGCTGGGAAGGATTGAGGGCAAAAGAAGAAGGGGGCGGCAGAGGATGAGGTGGCTGGATGGAGTCACTGGGGCGGTAGGTGTGGGATTGGGTGGACTCCAGGGGATGGTGGAGGACAGGAAGGCCTGGAGGAATGTTGTCCATGGGGTCGCGATGGTTCGGACACAACTTTGTGACTAACAACAACAACAATATGCTAGATAGAAATAGATAACATAATTTTGGATAATTTTGGATAACGTGTATCTGCGTATAAGCCTAAAAATCCTTACCTGGAAAAGTTCCAAACTGTTTTCTGTCCACCAGGCAATGTATGTTTGGATTTTAAAAATAAAAGACAGACAGATTATGGCATATCTCCTGGACCTCTTTCGTTGAAGAAGACATCACTGATGTGTCTAGGGAATGGGTAAAATGGAAGCATTCTGAGAACTGCATTTCTGAAAGAACACCCTGTGGCCTTATTTTGCGGTGGCCTCTTTTGTCATATTTACCCACAAAAATGCGCCTGTAGGAAACAGATGGTTTCCCCCAATTTGCTAAAATATACTAGGACCTGCCACGCTACTTTTGAAGACTGTGCAGATATAATTGCTACCATTTCCTGAAAACATGAGAAAAAGACGAGCATGTAATCTAGATCAGAGCCATATAGAATCATAGAGTAGTAGAGCTGGAAAGGGCCAGAGGGTCATCAGGTGCAGTTCCCTGGACTCCAGGTCAAACCGTCCTCCTCAGAAGGCTGTCCAGTTGCATCTCAGGGCTCGCCTGAACATGTGCAAGGCTAAAGTGGGGAGGGCGCATTAGCACGCACATGATTCCTGTCTCTCAACCTACAGTCTGGGTTTCTGACTGTAGATGTGCTTCAGCTGAGCATGCGGACAAAGCCCCTGCCAGTGCATGAAAGCCGTGCCAACAGCTAAGCATGTGGGGTTGCTGGTGAGCAGAGCTTCTGCATGCACATTCAGCCCCTTCATACTTTAGCCCTTTGCATGTACAGGGAAATGCCTCCACTTCAGCTCGTTAGAAGTTTGAGCATGGCCCTTAAAAAGGGGTGTGCATTTAATTAAATTGAAGGCTTTCTAAATACAAAGAGTATTAAGATGGTAATCTTGGTAAAATAGGCCGCAGCATATTTCTGAATTTCAATGACTGGGAAGGCCCTTATGTATTGTTTCTTTCCTCTTGCATGAGAGTGACTTCCTCCATTTCTTAGTTTTCAGTAACCATACCTTTCTGTGCCATTCAGATTGGAAATCCTACGATTGTCTTGCCCCCAAACCTTTTTTGGAGTGTGCTCCAAATTGTAGTTTGAGATTAGTGCTGAACATGGCTTCCTAAGACATCATTGCAAACTGTGGTTTATGAAAAGCAAGAAGAAAGATGGGAGAACCCTTCCCCAAAGCAGAAGAAGAGAGCACAGGAGTTCCAGCCACTTTCCAAGTATCTGTAGCATAGCTTGCCCTTATGTTGTATAATATAAGCAGCGCTTTCTCAAGCATTGTGTGAATAAGTAATAAACGATGAAGGACCTGTAACGCCTTGAGGTGATTGGTATTATAAGCACGTCACTGCCCACATTTTTACATTATCCAAATGTGTTTGGACGATATCCCTACTAGCCAAATAAGTTTATCCAGCTTGCCCATTCCCCTACCTAACTTGGATGCTGTTTCAGAGACTCCCACGTGCTTAGGTAATGTTGACATTGTCCAGGTCAGCCTTCAGGAGACACTGACCAAAATAGGCTGGGTGCTGGCGTTCCATTCCCCACATCGCAGTGGAATGACTATATCCAGGGCCCCCATACAATGTGCCCTTTTTCCAGATAATGTTTATTTTACCTCTGGGTGCTTTACTGTTTTCTGTTTTACCAGGAGCAAGCCTTTGACCCATATGAGACTTTGTCTCAAGATATCCTTTCGTCCCAGTATCATGAACATTTTAATACTTTGATGGCTAAACCTGCTGTGGCACTACACTTCCAGGTAGGAGTGTATGTATTTATTCTGAACAGTATATCTTCCCTGCCTACCGATCGAATCATTTTCAGGGCAGTTTGCAGTCAACTGTACTACAAAGACATCCCAGAATGCACTCAACTGCACCAGCACTTAGTCCTCGGGGGGGGGGAGGACTGGCTGTGCAGGGAGAAGGTGCCGGGTTGGATCCAGCATCTCCAGATAAGGCAAGAACAGTCCTGCCTCAAGCCCTGGAGAGGCCGTGCTGTCAGCAATGCTGAGCTCGCTGGACTGATGGCCCAACAGGGCAAGGCAGCTTCTCAGGTTTCTCTGTCAGAGCCGCTTGGCATGGTAGTGAGAGCTTTGGACTGGGAACCCGGGAGATCCCCTCTTGGGGGTGCAGGCCATGAAGGTTGCTGGGTGGCTTTGGGCCAGCCGCTCTCTCTCAGACTCACGAGGTTGCTGTTGCGAGGGCAGAATGGAGCTGGCCCAGAGGAAGACGGGGGGGGGTGAATGGTGCAGGTGGTGGTGGTGGTGGTGCAGGGATGGGAAGCCTCTGCCTGGGGGGAGAGGGAGGCGTCTTGAAAACAACTGAGCCCCTGGGGAAGGTGACAGCACTCGTGGGCTTCTCCCGCCCGGCATCCCTGCCCTGCGGAAAACCTGGCCGAGCAAAGCCACCTCTCCACCTGAGGCAGTGGCTGCAGAAGCTCCAGCCGATGCTTCCACTGGGGGTCCAAGGGCATTGAGTGGGAGTCTCACTTGCTCCGTGGGGCAGATTTGCGGGGAGGCAGCCATGTTCCTGAACCCGGATCATGTCCACACCCTTGGCCCGTATTAAGTTTCCTGTCTGTTCTGCAGGGCCAGAACAACAAGAGGGCGCAGGGAAGCAAGGAAGGCGGACTGGATATTCAGAAAACCATCTTGCCTTGCTTTACCACCATGGTAGATGTATTAAGCATGCCCTGAAAACACTGCTGCTAAACTGCCTCTTAGGGAGCCTCTTAATAATCAAATCAATATAATTTTTAAAAATGGCCTGCTTTCTTTCTTCCCCTCTGACACAAGACTTGCCTTTTTTGTTTCTTTTTTAATTCAGTCAATTGCTGATGGTTTTAAAGAGGCAGTACAGTATGTCCTTCCACGGCTCATGTTGGTTCCTGTTTATCATTGTTTGCACTACTTTGAATTATTACAGGTAAGCAAATGCTTTTCAGTTATATTTGACTTTTCAGAGATCTTGCTTTTATCATTTTAGAATGCACTGGTGAGCTGCAGTTTAAAATGAAGCTTTTTAAAAAGGATACACTTCCAGTTGAAGCGACACCTTTGTGCGGGTTTACTCCTTCCTTGATTCACATGCGAGGACCACACCCGTTTTAAACGGATGGGTTGTTGAGCTGAGCGTGCAGGGGGTCGGTGTCACGCCCACCTCTCCACCGTTCCTGCATTACCCATGGTTAACTCCTTCAAAGGCTGCAGAGTACAATGTCTGAACCCAGGTTGCCGGAATCAAGCAACTAGGCAGTTAGCCTCTTGTTTGATTTGAGGTCAACCAGTAAGTTGCTTAACTCTTAAATAACCCACCAGTCTAAGTTTGCATATCAGGCTTCACAACCCACAGAGGAGTTTATGTGTTACAGGATAAAAGGGGATGAAGCTTATGCACGACGACTCATATTTTCAAACAGACAGGAGGTCGTTAGTGCAGACTCCCCCACTGCGTGCCTTGTGTTTTTCCATCTGTTTCTGATTTTGAAGAAAATGGAATTACTGCAAACTGAAGAATTTCTACCTCGAAACTTGACTGCCACTGCCGTGCCTTACAGGAGCGTGTTGTCGTCGTTGCTCCGTGCTGTCACGTATCTTGTCTCTGACTTAGAGCAGCCTGTAAATGTATTCCCTCCAACATATCTTGTCCTTCACGGCTGTGTAAATGCAAGGCTGTGGCTTCCTTGACGGCAGCAATCCATCTGATCACCTTCTGCCTTTGAATTTCCCTGGCACGATGGTCTTCTCCAGTGAGGCCTGCCTTCTTACGATATTTCCAAGTTACAACGGCCCCATTGTTGTCATTTTCTTACATGAGTGCAATAAAATTTTCTCTTACAGTCAAGTATAAGAGAAGAGATAGCCTCTGGCCAAAGTCTTTTAATTATAGTCCTGGGTTTGCTGTAACTCAAAAGCTTTCATTTTCACTGTTAAATTGCTTTAAAAAGCTTGTTCTGCTCTCAAATGAGGCTGTGATTGGCATGGACTTGTAATTTGTGCGTGAGGAAATGAATAATCCGTCGGAATGCCCAACACTCAGTGACTTAGCTTCAAAGAATGTTCCAAATCATGATTGCATAGAATTTTGTCATACAATTGGAAGACTCCCAAAATAAGATTTTATCCAATCTCCTGCTGTAACACTGGGTAACCCTCCCTGTTTTTGTGGCTGAACTGTTCTTTCAGGTACATTTTTCCTGATCCCGCTTTCTTCTCTTGTTTCAGAAGGAATGGAGTAAAACGTTCTTTCTGAGAGTGTTACAAATTCTTGAAATGTCTTACACAACCTCCCATCCCCCCAACAGTATTCCTTCAACTTAAAGACACCTAATTCCTTCTAACTGTAATTTGTCACATAGAGTCAGTTCACACATTCAGCATCCCACAAGATTGTGCGTGCATTGGAACAGTGGGTTCATGTGTCTCCCCTCACTGAGGGCTAGGCAAGTATCGCCAATCCTTTCATCTCAAACGGGGTATCAGCAGTGCCTGGAGTGGGGCACATCCAAACGCCCACTCCTGGGGTGAAAGAAAGGAATTGGAGGTGGCAGATGTACTGATAACCCCAAAATAGTCGCATACATCTTTAGAAAACAAAAAACAACATATCAGGAACTCGAAGTTGAGTAAAAATTCATGGGCCTTTATGGAGCTTTGCTATCTTCTCCTGAAACTCAGTCGTCTTCTATGAAACTTCAGTCTTGGAATTTTAAAATGCAGGATGAGAAAAGCCAAGTTCTGAGATGTGGATAGAAGAATTAGAAGGAAACAAATCTGCAGGTGGTTATGTAATATAATCTAGCCTGCTGTCATGATTAATGTTGTAATGTGGGGTGGGAGGGAATGGAAAAGGCTAAGGTTATTGTTCCTGTGCATTATCAGATGTTTGCACGTGTATGCTAATATATATGTAGACACATGTTAAGAACATTGACCAAAATTTGCAAGTTTGTTCGTTCGTTTTAAGTCAGTACAGTGATTATATGAACAACATGCGGATTGAACTGGCAATTATGCATTCGAATCTATAGAGAAGGGAGCAGATTTGGAAAGAACCAACTGAGCAGTGTGCAATCGATGTGGAAGGAAATGCCTCACAAGTAGGCCAGTAATGCACTTTGGGATGAAAAAGTCAACTTCAGCTGATGGGATCTGAGCTAGTGGTGACGGCCCAGGAAAGTGACCTTGGGGTTGTGATGGGCAGCACAAGGGAAATGCCCACCAGTGTGGGCACTGCATCTGAAAGGGTATCATAGAGTTGCAAAAGTGCAGAACGGGCAACCGAGTGATCATGGGGCTGCAGCAATTCCCCAGGAAGAAAGGTTACAGCTGCTAGAATTATTTAACTCAAGAAAAGGGTCGGTAAAGGCAGGGAGACATGATAAAGGTGCACAAAGTAATGCTCATTGTGGACAAAGTGAATTTGTCCACCCCGTAACTCTGGAGCCCAGTGGGTCATCCCACGAAGCTGAATCGTAGGAGGTTAAGGACAGATAAGGGAAGGACGTCTTTCCATAGTGCGCATTAAGCTAATGAACTTGTTGTCGTGGGACACAGTGATGACCGCCACTTGGGGCAACTTGAAAAAGGAATTTGGCAAATTCACGGAGGACAGGGCTGGCAGGGGCTGCACCTTGTGTCCTGCCGGCGGCTTGGTGCTGGCCACTGGTTGGTCGTAGCGACCGGGAAGCTGGGCTAGATGGAGCCTGATCCGAATGGGCTCTTCGTATGATCTCGAATCCTCCTGTTTCTGTCCTTTCAGCAATTGCAAGAACGTAGCGAAGATGAAGAAGACCGTGAATGCTTGAAACAAGCCATCACAGCTCTCCTGAATCTCCAGTGTAGCATGGAGCGCATATATAACAAGCACTCACCGAGGCGCCGCCCAGGGTGAGAAAATTGGCCCCCGAGGGGGCTTGGCTGCAGGAGCAGGAAGGGTGGAATTGGCTCGAGAGGGCAGGTCACGTCAGGGGAGCTGTGGCTGTGAGCGAGGCACCCTAGCAGAGTGTCTCTGCCTTCTGCTAGGACACTGCACAGTCATGGAGGAGAAACCAAGCACGTGGCTTATTTTTCCTCCCTGTGTATGCCAGTCACCCGCTGTCTAATTAGCATAATTTCCCTTGCTGGATGTGGGCTGCCATGGCTGCCAGATTTATTAAGGTACATGGCTGGGGTTGAAACCTGAGAAGAAGCCATGGACTTCTAGGTGGCTTATAAACTGCATAGCTGATTCATCTTGCCAAGTTCAGACTTCACAACAACCCATTTTCAACCAGAGTAATTAAGCTCGTACCCACCAGTGCCATTCTCCCACTGTTGCATCTTGAGCTGGAACTTGCCCACTCCCTTCCCTATTTCTGTGTTTCCCTGATTCTTGTGCAACAGCAGCTGCTACATTGGATGGTCCCCATGAGGTGCCCAGGCCAGTAGTAATTATATCTGCTCACTCCAGTTATTCCATATGGTTCAGTCATCTTCTTCTTTCAGGGAGATTGGAACAAATTTAATCTTCAAAAACATACTTAAGGGAGATTTGCTCAATTTCGCTTGAAGTTCAGCAACCCCAACAGTACTTGCTCTAAAAAAGAGCCAGAGTTGGGTGAGAGGAGCCAATAACTCCATGTGTCAACTTTATTCTCTCCCTCTTACACCTTGAACTGACAGTTGTCGATTTCCTGACTCTTTTGAGGCTTCCCTGAGCTCAAAAAGTGACAGGGATCAGTTCAAGGCATAATAGGGGTGACGAATTTCTCTGCCCCCTCCCCGCTTAGTGCACCTTTTTAGAGCAGTTACTTTGTTTTCAATTTGTTTCCTTTCTCGGTGCTTCCTCTTGGTCTCTGGCAGTATACACAGATTTATCTGCTTGTGTAAGCAACTGCTGTTGTTGTTGTTGTTAGTTGCAAAGTCATGCCCGACCCATCGCGACCCCATGGACAACATTCCTCCAGGCCCTCCTGTCCTCCACCATCCCCCGGAGTCCACCTAAGCTCACACCAACTGCTTCAGTGACTCCATCTAGCCACCTCATCCTCTGCCGTCCCCTTCTTCTTTTGCCCTCAACTGTTCCCAGCATTAGACTCTTCTCCAGCGACTGTGAAATATACATATCAGACACTGGAAACAGTTGCTTTAAAATTACTAAATCATCTGCATGCTTCTGAAGGACTGAAAATGGGTGGAGTAAGGATTCCAAGGAAAATAGGTGATTGGAGCAGGGAGTGGATTTGGAAAAGTTTCTGTCATAGAGTGAAGATATGAAGGGGTTGCCATTCAAGGGATGCCAGGATATGAACAGGGGGCAGGCTGGAGGACTAAGGGGGAAAGAAGCTAGATCAAATTGGTGGAATTTGTAGACATGTGTGAGGAATTTCGTTTGAGGCTGGAACCTGTCAGGTTTCCTTGGCAGATCAGCTGTGCAAGCAGAATTCTGCTTCTACACACACGACCTGTAAGCTTTCTATATCTTGCACACTTTGCACAAAGAAGGAGTCTCCTAGCATTCCCACGCTAGACTTGATCTCAGCGCAGCTTGCTTCCTGGCCAGAGGAGAGAGCACATTTCCAGCTAGATCCTAACATTCCTAGCTGGGAGTTACATGTTATGGTTCAACTGAGCCGTCTACTGCAGCTTATTTTCAGTGGCTTGGCATGATGCACAAATTCACTTAGGTCAAAAGTAGAAACGCATTTTGTAAACAGAGATGTCAAGAGCATGTACACAACCATGAACCTGAACCATGTGTGGCTGGCATAGCTTACATTCAGTGGCAAACCAGGGTGTTTAGCTGATGTGTGACATTTAAGAAAGATGCTGACAAGCTGGAAAGGGTTCAGAAAGGATGATGTGGGGATTGGAAACATTGCCCTATGAGCAGATTGAAAGAACCGGGCTTGTTTAGCCTCAAGAAGAGAAGACGGGGGTGGGGGGGACAGGATAGTATTCTACTAGTAACTGAGAGGCTGCCACTGAGAGAAAGGACAGGATCTCTCCTTGATCACCCCAGAGTGCAAGACAAGGGATAACAGGCTCAAGTTACAGAAAGCCAGGTTCCGACCAGAGAGCAGGAACGATTTCTTGACTGTGAGAGCGGCACAGCGATGGAACCAAGGAGCAGGGAGGGTGCTGGCCCCCCACTCCAGAGGAAGTCAGCGTGCAAGACGCACCGTCTGAGAGGGATGGTTTAGCTTGGAGCCCTGCACTGAGCAGGTGGTTGGATCCGGTGGCCTTCTTGGCCTCTTCCAACTCAACTGTTGGAATGTTTCAGCTGAAACTGAACTGTTGCGATGTTTCTGTTAATCTGGGTTGGGTATGGCTCTTTGGCTTTAATGGTTTTCTCAGTAAATTTTCCTTGTGGTGGTTGAAATGTATTTCAGTCAAGTCACAGAAGCGTGATACTTTTTCAGCTTATAACTGTCAATGTTGGAAATACTATAATCTAATAAAGAGTGTATTTTAGGGAGCCCGTGTTTTGGTTCTACAACCGCCAAGTGAGGAGCAAGCACCTGGCCATTAAGAAGATGAATGAGATCCAGAAAAACATTGATGGCTGGGAAGGCAAAGATATTGGCCAGTGCTGCAATGGGTTCATCATGGAAGGCACCTTGGCCAGGGTGGGAGCCAAGCACGAGCGGCACGTCTTCCTCTTTGATGGCCTGATGATCAGCTGCAAGGCCAACCACGGCCAGTCCCGGCTCCCAGGCTACAGCAGCGCAGAGTACCGACTCAAGGAAAGAATCATCATGAGGAAGGTCCACATCATTGACAAAGATGACACCTGTGAATACAAGAACGCTTTTGAACTGGTCCCCAAAGACGAGAGTGGGTTCATCTTTGCCGCCAAGTCCGCGGAAGAGAAGAGCAACTGGATGGCAGCACTCATCTCCCTCCAGTATCGCAGCACCCTGGACCGAATGTTGGACGCGGTGCTGTTGCAGGAGGAGAATGAGCAGCCCCTGAGGCTCCCCAGCCCCAGCATCTACCAGTTCGCCGTGGAAGACTCGGAGGAGAATATTGTTTTTGAGGACAACCTTCAGAGCAGAAATGGAATTCCCATTATCAAGGGCGGAACGGTGGTGAAACTCATTGAAAGGCTAACTTACCACATGTATGCAGGTATCTGGCCTTGACACTTGTTGGGTGTATCGCAACCGCCATTGTAGTGTTAGCTCGCGGGAGAGAAACAGTTAATTGAAGGTTGGAGGGCTTTGATTGGGGTCCATGTTAATCTTGTTCCTGTTTGCCTTTCTAGATCCTAATTTTGTACGTACTTTCCTTACCACATACCGTTCCTTTTGTAAACCACAAGAACTCCTCAGTTTGTTAACAGAAAGGTGCGTAAAAACCTCCCCACTTGTTTTCTGATTAAATTTGCTGTTACATTTTTAATATTTAATACCTATTTTGGAGAGCTTTGCAGTAAGTTTAAATGTTTGCACGCTCATTTTGGTGTAATCTGTTCTAAGGGCTTTTCCATATTTAAGTGCCTAATTAAATAATGCTATTTAAAAGCCTTTTGTGGTCTGGCACTACAGTGTTGAAGTACTTTGCCCATATTGAAGCAGAATATGTATGGAAGAAGTGAGGCTACTTAAGAGTGGCTTTCTCTTAGAAAAATAAAAAATAAAAATAGCAAAGAGGAGGGAGATCCGGAGTTGGTCTCTGATCAACTCAGTTTTGTTGGAAATTTTTGGGTCCTGGTTTCTCAGTTTTGATTGTACACCTCTTGGCTATGAAAACTTGAAAATGAAGGGGAGAGGGAATGACAGAAACCTGACTGGTGTGTGTGTGTGTGTGTGTGTGTGTGTGTGTGTGTTGTAGTAGTGGTTTGTGAGAGTGGCCATTCAACAAAAGCAAGCGTCATCCCTAGCTGAGCAGATCTTTCACTCCAACCGCAAAATAGCAGATATGGCAGGAGTAGCGATATCATTGCTGCAGTTAACATTTATATACTGCTTTAGCTACTAAAAATGTCATTAAGGCACAGTAGAATAATAGCAGACGGCAGACTTGTGGGGAGAGAATGCAGTGTCATTCCCACTCGAAGGCTAATCCCAAGCTGCCCTGAAGCGAGTGGGAATGACCGCAGCATTTCTGGAGCAGAAGGGAGTCCGAAGAGCTCACAGTGCTAGTCTGGAAACTGGAGCTGGCCCAAACTAGGGCAGCAAGCTGGATGACAGTCCATTTCTGGGCCCCAAAGAGCTTGCGGCAAAGTTCCCTGAAGGATCATGCCATCCCTATGGCCCTGCCCAGGCCCCAAGACCAACATTCCACAGTCCTTCCGCAGGCTCCCCCACCAGAGAGAGGGAGCAGGCGGCGGTTCTGCTGTGGCACCCCAGCTGTGGGACGGCGTTCCCAGGGAAGCTCATTCGCTGCCTGCACTGTGCTCTGGTCAGCACGGAGTGCAGAGCTTTTCATTTTCCAAGCATGTTAGCTTTTCAGTTTCTGTTTGGACTCTTTGCACTGCAACTAGGTTCTGCTTGTTTGTTATTTTTTATTTTTACAATATAGTTTTAACTTTCAAAAGGTTACGTTGCATTTTATCATCTCGTATTCTGTGTTTTTCATGGTTGTGAACCATCCAGATTCCTTTGGCTATTGGTTGGCATAGAGCTGTAAGACATAAATAAAACTGGTTGTTCCCTCTAGCACAACCTAATGAATGCTGGCAAAGTGCCAGCTTTGGACACTGCCCACACAGGTAGTCCCTGGGTTGCAAACAGACTGTACTTATGAACGCACAGCCCCTGTAAACCCTGTATGAATATCTCTAGCAAAAAGCCATGACTATCTCTAGGGAATTAGGCAACATGTTTGATGACACATCCTCAGTGGCCGTGTAATTTCCTAGAGATGCTCGCAGCTTTTCTCCAGAGATAGGGATTCGCTAGACATAGTCGCTGGTACCGCTAGGGAACTGCGTGACACATTTGGTGAGATGCCACCAGTGGCAGCCTAGTTGCCTGGAAATGCAGTATTCTCAGCGTTTGGCTTTGCCGTGTCAGCTCCAATGTACCCAGGCCAGTGTGTTTTGGAGCACTTGTAGGGCACACCGTTCCCCTTCGGTTTGTCTGAAACATTTGCCCTTGTAACCAGGCCCTACAGGGCCATTCATGATGAGAAAACGAAAATGGCTCTTGATGCCAGTTTCAAGAACGCAACTTCTTCTGCCCCCAGCAGCTCAGTTGAATCCTGACTCTCCAGCACCAGATCCATCCACGTCGCCATCAGTTAATGTTAGGCCTAATGTTGCCTCAAGAATGTTTTATACTGTTTTAAGAACTGTTTCTTTTATTTGTTGTTTACAGTACTGTATACCGGCACACACATATTCAGATATTCTCATTCTCTCCCTCCCTCCGTCCCTCCCTTCCTCTCTCCAGTACCTGTAATTCCTTTTTATTACTGTATTTGTATCATTACAATGCTGTACTGTGTTTAAGATGTTTCAATGAATATGGAAGTGTTTTATATGCATAGAAAGGTAAAATATATACATATACTAAGGCAAACATTTGGCTTACTTGTGTGACCTGTCTTTCATACAAACCTGACTTAAAGACGTTCTCAGGAACTGAACTCATTCTTAACTTGGGGACTGCCTGGAGTGTTTAATCATTTGAACCTAACAACTGCAGAAAATGTCCCTGAAAGTATAGCATTTAACTTTTTTTTAAGCTAGGGATTTCCCCAAGCCCCAAATAATCTGTTTTATAGCTTTCCTGTAATGTTGGAAACTGAAGTCCATTAGTACAATGCACAAGCTGCTGATTCCGTGTGTGTTCAGATAAGCAGATCAGTTGCGGTCTAGCAAGCTCAAGATGTCACCTCCACTGTGACTTTCAGGGCTGAATAGTATTCCTGCTGTTGATGTATAAAGCAAGAACCAGCAGAACAAAATAAATGTCGAGGAAGTAGGATTGCTTTCACGGCTATGTGGAAAGAGACAGAAAAACCATACTGAATTTTGCTATTGAAAAAGTATTTTACTGATGCAGAAACTGGGATACTTGTGTTAAGACAGAATGAGTAAATCACATGCCATTTGCATTTGAAATGTCATACTCTAAAATCAATAATGGAAGCCTGTTTTCAGTCATCACACATGACTGGCACATTCACTTTCTCCCATTCGTGGACCACAGTGTGCTTCAGGGTGGTTTTAACCTTATTCTGGATCTACTGTCATTTACTTTGTGATTTTCTTTGGTTACTAGATTTGAAATCCCAGATCCTGAGCCAACAGAAGCAGATAAGCTGGCAGTAGAGAAAGGGGAGCAGCCGATCAGTGCAGACCTTAAAAGATTTCGCAAGGAATATGTCCAGCCAGTGCAACTCAGGTTTGTGGGAATGTATGACGCTGAAAGCTTATCCAGAAGAGCACTGGTACTCACAAGGTGTATCATAGCATAGGAGCTAAGTATGTGCTGCAAATTTCAGATCCCATACCTCATTCATGAACTTAGGCAGATCTTGCAGACTGGTCACCTGCAAAATGGAGAGAATAATATTATGCAAAAGGCTTGCTGCTAGCTCGGGTATCGGAGGCCTTAGGACTGTGCGTACCAGTTGCTGGGTAACTTGGCGCTGGTGCACTCAAATGCTGCTCCTGGAATCTGCGGAATGCTGTGCCGGACGGATCCATGGCCTGATGCAGCAGGGCTTTCCTTAGCTTAGAGGAGGCTAACTTAAGCAGTCAGAAATTTTTCAAGTTGTATTTGTATAAATTCTAGTGCATGGGTCCTCAAACTAAGGCCCGCAGGACGGATCCGGCCCGCCTTGGCCATTCATCCGGCCCGCACCACCGCCCTCTTTCCCGTGCGCATGCTTGCTGCACGGGCGGGAGGTGGTGGCTTGCTTACTCGGAGATGGTTTTGGACTCGTTGGGAGATCTCCGAGCCAGCAAGTTGCCACCTCGCGCGCGCCCAACGACGTCTCACCAGGCTGCGCGCCCAGCCCCCCCCCCCACTGGCCCGCGCATGTAGCCGCCGCCTTTCAACTGGCCCCCTGTTGAAAAAGTTTGAGGGCCCCCGTACTAGTGGAATCCTGTGTAGTAGGACTGCCCTGAGTTGTACCCCTTTTTGACCTTCGGAGCTGCAGTAGGAGGACTTTTTTTTGGAGAGAGGAGAGAGGACTGAGCAGAATGGGGGAAAAGATATTTTGAAAAAGCATTCTGAAGAGAAAGCAAAGGAAGGAAAATAGACAGATTGTCAGGAAGGGCTCTGAAGAAACTGAAGGAGGAGAGAGAAGAGACCAAGGCAGAGCTGCAGTAGCATCCGGACTCCCTTGCCCACTCACACGCCAGTTGCCAGTCAGTGGATGCTTTTCAACCAGCTTTCTGTTACTTCTGTGTCCTGGACTGGCTCTGTGAACCATCTAATTTTTGTCTTCCTTTATTGTTTAGAGACTTGCATATTACACTGACTTGAATGTTTGTTTTGCTTCCTCATCCCTTCTCTCCCCTTTTTTTTTCAATGAATCCTAGTTCTTGTTTTACAGATGGTTGGTTCGCCCCCCCAAAATAAATAAAATTTTTCCACTCTAGAATTTCATGTTTGAAGGAAGATGCAAAACCTGAATAAATGGATTATCTAGAAAGACTCTGAAAATTGTCCAGGCTCTAGAGAGATACCTATAATATACTGAAGATTTTTTTGTGGCTCTGATGGGGGGATTCCATCACCAAAATTGATGTAAAGATGTTGTTTTCACTTCCCTTGTGAAATACAAGGATGTGCCCTTCAGAGTTAGCAGTAGAAAGGGATTTTTTAATTGAGGAAATAAATGTATGGCTCGCAGGATGATCCACAGTTCAAAAATGAGGAAAACCCACCTTCCAGCCCTCTTGCTTTATCAGTATTTGCACACGGTAAAACAGGGTTGTTTCTTCCTTCAGCTCTGTCCTGTTTTCTTTTTATCTCCAGGGTATTAAATGTGTTTCGGCACTGGGTGGAACACCATTTTTATGACTTTGAGAGAGATCCGGAGCTTCTTGATAAACTAGAGACCTTTATTTCCAGTGTAAGAGGTATGTGGCTTGAATTAATTGCACTAATTTGGTTTAAACCCAGATGCTGCACCTCATTTGGCTTGCGCAACATTGCCTGTTTCTTGAGAGATCTTCTGGAGCTGTGCTTATTCATGTGTGAGAAGAAAATGGAATTTGCAATGCTGCGAGCCACTTGTCACATCAGTTTCCTTTTAATTCATACTCTGTTTTACTAAAGGAAAAGAATTGCACTATACAACCATGATACAAATCTCTTTGGGTCTGTGCTTAGTGTTTTCCAGAAAAAAGTGCATATTTTCAAATGATTTACAGCACCAAAACCAAGCACAGAACTTTTTTCCTGCTGGATTCCATGCCTTTGTAGGAAAACCGTGCGCATAATTAGCATATGCATGTACGTCATGTTATTCAACCAGCTAAATGTGCATACTTGCCAGATGGGAAGACCTGCATGCAGTTTTGCTACAAGTAAGCTGTAGCTGTGCAGGAGATGCTGTGCGAAATTTGGTTGTGTCCTTACACATGTTGCTCTCTGAAAGTCTTTGGTTTGCTTGCATTCATGTGTTTACAGAGCCCTCCCCCCGCCCCTGGGTTTATTCTGCAAAATTCACTATATAAAGCTGGCACTATTTTCTTTGTTGCTTGGGAGGGCCAGCTCCGACACTCCTGGGGTCCCAGTCCAGTTCTTCTGGGTAGCCACACTCTTTCCCCCAATTTTCCAGAGCTTGAGACTTTCTCCATTTTTGTGCCTCTTTCCCCGCCACAATTCTCAAAATTTGAACCGTCTTTCAGGCAAATCCATGAAGAAGTGGGTGGAATCCATTGCAAAGATTATCCGGAGGAAGAAGCAAGCTCATGCAAATGGCATTAGCCATAACATAACTTTTGAGAGCCCTCCTCCCGCAATTGAGTGGCACATCAGCCGCCAGTTTGAGACCTTTGACCTCATGACGCTGCATCCCATAGAGATTGCTCGGCAGCTGACCCTCCTGGAATCTGATCTGTACAGGTAATCCACGGTTTTGGTGGGGTGCCGAAAGGTTGCCCCACACAGGCGAGCTGTGAAGTGCTTCTCGCATAGCAGATCTGTTCTGCACATGGAGAAGGGAGGAGTGTGCCCGCACGCCATGTGCACAGTCCCTGTGTAAGCAAGCACCTCTGCCACTGACGGCGTGCACTGGCGGAGCGTGATGTGCTCCCAGTGCACCGTGGCTGGCGCACTGAGCCGCCAGCCCTGAACGGAGGTGCGCAGGAGAGAACCTTGCTGATAGTTCAGCTGCTCTCAGTCAGAGGAGGGAGGGAGGGTGCAGCCGATGGGCAGTGGCAAATGGGCCAGCTCCTCTCCTGCAGGAGAAGGCAGGGCTGAGGGACCAGTAGATTTCCGGCTGCGAGAGGAGAAACCCCCTGGGTCTTGCGCTCCGCCTTCTAGGGAGTGCTCCTCAGCCGCTGCTCTGTTCTTGGTGCAAGGGAGGAGGAGGTGGATGAAACTGCCCACTGGGGCTCACCTAGGCTTCCTGGTGAGTGGGTCTGTCTGTCCTCTGGGGGCTTGTTCCTTGGCAGCTCTCCTGGGAAATGCCCCCAGCAGAACTTGCTCAGGGTGAAGTTGCAACCGATGCCGGCCTGGGAGGCCGCCAGGGACAGATTGCTCCAGGGATCCGAGGCTCGGCAGCCGGTCAGCCGGCTGCAGCTGAGAGCGGTTCGCCTCGCCTTCCAGGCTTTGAGGTCCTTGGTTCTCTACTGGCGTGCTGTGGTGCATGCAGGCAACATAGCAACAAGAAGCCATCATGTGGAAGCCATCAAGGTAGCGCCGCTCAAGAGGACACGAATCTACTCCTGCCTTGAGCAGAAAAAAGCCAGTGCACCCAGCAGGAGGGCCTGGGGGACAGAAGTGATTTGGAGGGCAAAGACAGGCATCTTGTGGCTCAGTTGCTGCTCTGTGAACCTGCATTTATAATTAAGCACTCAAACAATGGGGCGTTTCCAGAAGGGTTTATAGACCCTCCCCGGAAAAAAAGAAATGGTAGCCCGCTTCAGTTTGTTCCATTCCGGATCTATTATTTTCTTGCATACATGGCATTATACAAGAGAGCAGATCTTTCTCTCTCTCTTTCAGTGATGGTTAAAACAAAGACATGGAGCAATGGAGTTGACTTAGAGCGTAAATTTAGGAGAATTGGGACTGTGGGTGGCAGCCGAGGCCACACCATTGAGCTAAGTGAATTGTACTCCATCTGGGCTTCCCCTTTTTTGGAGATTTGCTTAGGAAGACAAAAGCAACAGCTCACGACCACTGGCTGTGAGGTGATGGCGTTACACCTCTGGGTCCTTAGGTATCACCTGTACAGCATGAATGACAGGACTCCACCTCACCTGCCTCTGTCTCATATTATTTCCACCTCTTCCCTTGCGGCTTTTCTCCCCCTCCCCGGCTCACAGGGCTGTCCAGCCATCGGAACTTGTTGGGAGTGTGTGGACAAAAGAAGATAAAGAAATCAACTCTCCAAATCTACTGAAAATGATTCGTCATACAACAAATCTGACACTTTGGTTTGAAAAGTAAGTGGTAGTTCTGAATGAAGTAGGACTGGAGGATTTAAATCAAGCAGCACTGGAGCCACCGCTGAATTATTGACGGGGCTTCTTGCTATGGAAGGCTTCGAGGATGCCCAAGCAAGAGAGTTAGCTGCTAACCGTATTAACCCTCGCAAGCAAGAACAAAATAGGCCTGGTTCCTTCAAATATAATTCAGCCAGTGCCACCTAGTGACTGAGATGTATAATGTCATAATCCCTGCAACTCCCAGCCTTTGCATTTAGAAAATAGATTTACGATTTCACCTTAGTTACGCCCACATCCTTCACTGCAGGAAGTAAGGAGCACCTCCATGAAAGTAGCGCCCAGGTGAAATTCTTACTGATATTCTTACTGGTCTTTACATCCCCAGATTATTCTAATTGGGCTTTTCACGGATTTTAACAGTTGTTCTGTCCATCACTCACAGTGTGGAGTAACTGGAATGCATCCTACAGCTTGCGTTCTGCACTGTAATTTACCGCTAAGCAGCCCTGCTGGCTAGTCCTTCTAGGGCATTCTCACAAAGTGCCTAATCTAAAACATCCCCAGATTTCAGCCTCCGGCCTTTCTCTGTAACAAGAATCATTTCACTGTCTCTTTTCGGCCTTCTGCTTCAGCAGATGAGGCTGTGGATGCGCTAATAAAAACAAAGAAGCAGAGCGAGTCAGAAGGGGTCTCGGGCCATCTAGTCTGACCCCTGACTCCAGCCGGTGCCAGCTGTAGTACCTGGCTGCAATAATGGAGTGGAGGAGGGCTAACAAACTGAAGCTCAGTTGAGACATTAGTCCGGGATAGGAGTCGTTCAGTCTGTGCCGGATAGGGGTGCTCTCCCCCAGAGGACTCGGTTCAGAGCTTGGGGGTTCTCCTTGATCCATCCTAGTCAGTCACGCGAGGTTCAGGCAGCCGCAGTGCATGGAGTGCCTTCTGTCAGCTTCAGCTGGTGGTTCTGTCATGCCCTTCCCCGAATGGGGATAGCAGTGTCAGTGATCTGCAGTCTGGGGCTCTCTGAATTAGACAGCTGCAGTGTAATGCTCTCAACGTGCAGCTGCCCTTGTCCAGAAGCCACAGTGCAGCAGCCAGATGAATAACGGGGGCCTGCAGGTCTGAACATAGAACCAGTTCTGCTCGGCTTGCGCTGGCCGCCTCCGCCTCAGCCCAGTTCTTGGTGCCGGCTCTAACCTTTAAAGCCTGACACAGCCTGGGACCACAATACTTGGTGGAGCACCTCAGCGACTGCAGTCTGCTTGGATGCTCCGTATCCAGGGCCTTCCCCTGAGGGCGACTCAGAAGACAGCAACGAGAGGGGGGGCTTTCTGTGTGGTGGCCCCCAGTCTGCGGCCTGCCTTGCACCAACCTCGTCGTCGTTTTGGTGCCAGGATAAGAGAGCTGCTTATGCCACAGGTTTTAAAAATATACTTGGCTTGAGGGGACCGCTCATCGCAAGTGTTTCTACAGGGCTGCTCTTCGTTGTATGTTGTTTTAGCAGTTCCACTGTTTTGTTTTAAAACACAGTATTTTCATGGGATTTATGGCCTTTTAATGTGTGTTATACGCCATTGTAAACCATGCAGAGAGGTTTGGTTATTGGGCGTTACAGAAATAATAATACCACAATCAAAACTTGCTCAACATACAAAAATATCACAGAATCTTCATAGAAATATTTTCATATGATGCTTCTATACTCCAAGCAATAGGCCCCCAACAAAGGGACAGAAGGTTTAGTACAGACTCCCTTGGTCTATTTTTAAACCTAAGTTCCTTAAATGAAATTTCTAGTAAACAATTAAAATCCATTGATTTGTTACAATTTTTTAAAGTTAATGGACCAAACTCTTGTTATGCAGAGAAATAGTCAATGGCCTGTGCACCGTTATGCAGAGTTTCTCGTTTAGCCTCAGGAAGGATTTAACCTAAAAATATCTTTACTTGCTGATTGCTAGAGGCCATACTTAGGCTGACTGAAGCCTCCTGGGAGAAAATATAAGCCGGAACAAAAGGTTTTGCTATGTACCATTTTTCTTGCCTGATGTACGTTCGTTCGTTCTTTCTTTCTTTCTTTCTTTCTTTCTTTCTTTCTTTCTTTTTACAATTGCCCTCTCATGAGCTGTCCTTATACAGTCTTTTTGCTAGTCCTTTCCCCACTTTAACAGACACTTTGAAGTGGAGGCAGGGTGGCTGCCTGTCAGGGACGGTGCAGTAGTGGATTTCTCACCGTTGTTCTAGACGTACTTTCGATCCCTTCCGGTTTAATGATTGTATTAAAAGAAGGTGAGGCAGGTTATGTGCACACTTTTTTGCCATGTTCTCAAGTTACATTTTTGATGTGGGAGAACTGAAGAGTGTTGTGAGGGCAACTAAAGACAGAAGGGGGAAACATTTAAAGATCCCATGAGACTGGCAGGAATATTCTCTTGGACAGCAGGTCTAATCCTATAAGGCTCTAGGAATAGGAAAAAAAAACGTTGGAGTAGAGCCAGAATGACCCAAGTTCAAAATACTGATTAGTCATGAAAGTCGTTAGGTGAGCTTTGCTCACCCGTGGCCTAACCATTCATCATGATAATAACACCACCTTGGAGGACCTGCAAGATACAAATACAGCAATTAAAAAAAATAAAATAAAAAGCACCATGCCACAGTGTGTGCTACTGCTCTTTCCTTCTATCCTTTTTGTAAAATAGGTGTATAGTGGAAACGGAGAACTTTGAAGAGCGAGTGGCTGTGTTAAGCAGGATTATAGAAATCTTGCAAGTTTTTCAAGACTTGAATAATTTCAATGGCGTGCTGGAGATAGTCAGCGCAATGAATTCTGTCTCCGTGTACAGATTAGATCACACTTTTGAGGTAAGTCCTGGTGGCTGTTGGAAGTCTAACTAGCTTATTTTCCACAGTTGATGGCAACTGAAGCTCAGTAAATGTTGCATATTTCTGTTCTAGGAAAGTACATGCAAAAGAGAAGGTTACAGTTGTTTTGATTTTTAAAAAGCCAGTTATCCCTGAAGAACCAAGTAGATAAGTGATGCCTGGACAACTCTACTTTTTTGTTACCAGTTTTGCTAGTTTTTGTTAAACACATTTAGTAGATCACAATAATGAGTTGCACTCTTTAGAGAGATTCATTCCTACTTCCATTTTACTTTGTGTTCTGCCAAAGGTAATCTTGGTGGTTATTAATTACTTAAATAGCTTCTATATTATGAACACCTGTATTGTGTTTTATATGCAATATGTTGACTATTACTAGTCTTTATGATGCTAGTTGCCCTATTATTTTATATCCTACATCTCTTCTTAAGGCTGAACATATCCAGTTCACTCTTTATAGGGCAGTGTTTCCAAACCCTGGATCATTTTTGTTGATCCTTTCTAATTTTTCTGCATCTTTCTTAAATGTTGGTGCCCAGACCTAGACACAGTATTCCAGGTAAGGTCTGGCTCGTGAGGAGAAGTAGGGAGACTACTACTACTTGTGATTTGGAAGTAATACTTCTGTTAATGCATCCCAAAATAGCAGTTGCCCTTTTTGCAGCTGCATCACATTGTTGGCTCATGTTTAGCCTGTTGTCCACAACAGCGCCAAGGTCTTTTTTTCTTTTCAGTTCTGTTGAGCCACGTCTTCCCCATTCTGTATCAATGCACTTGTTTTCTTTTTCCTGGGGGAGGATTTTGCCTAATAAATAAAAAATAGGAAATGATATATGAACATACATTGCTTTGTGTTTCTTCTTGTTCACTTAGGCACTGCAGGAAAGAAAAAGGAGAATTTTGGATGAAGCAGTAGAATTAAGTCAAGATCACTTTAAAAAATACCTTGTTAAGCTTAAGTCAATCAACCCACCTTGTGTGCCTTTCTTTGGTAAGTTACACTGCAGAAACAGAGTTTTAAAAGGGACTGCTTGCTATGCCAGGCCTTCATCTACAAACAATAACTTTTCAAATAAAAAGAATCATGTCATATTTACTATTTTTCCACTTTCCGGTGGATGGCCACAGTTGGATGCTGTGGTAACAAGCCACCCTCACCAGGTTCTGACTTTACGGATAGTTATTTTGTTGTATTATTGAAAACAACCCCATAAAGTTTGTCAGTATTATTTTCCAGCTGGAAGGGAACAGATTGCTTAATGCTACCCTGGCTGGTTAATGTGGCAATGCAATTTGAATGATCAAAGCTCCATTTCCTAGCCATTCTGCTACACAAAGGTGAAACGATATCTGATGCATAGTTGCAATGAAAGTCTGGTTTTTCTAAAGGGGAGAACTTTCTAACATCTTAGTGTTGGTCAGTTGGCATAAAATAAATAGTAATAAATAACAGAGTCTTTATTTCCTCTCTCCATTTAGGAATATACTTGACAAATATTCTAAAGACAGAAGAAGGGAATCCTGATTTCCTTAAAAGACAAGGGAAAGGATTAATCAACTTCAGTAAGAGGAGGAAAGTGGCTGAAATCACAGGAGAAATCCAGCAGTATCAGAACCAGCCTTACTGTTTACGGGTCGAACCAGACATGCGGGTAATCAGAGAGCAGTTGTGTCTCTCCTTTGCCTGTGAAGGTGAAAGGGAATGTTCTGGCGTTGGGTTAAAGCTGCAGTGGCAAGTGCAAAGCTGAGGTTTGGACCTAGCCGGGCCCCCTTGAGAAAGCAGCCGGGCCCTCGGCTCTGCACGCCGGAAGTGAGGTTGGCCTGGGGCGCCCCATGCTGAGCTCTCCTCATTGAGCCGCCATCCCTGTTGTAAACTCAGGTGCCTGAAGGGAAAGCACTACCTATATATAGCCTTTTAGGGTTTGGGTTAGGGTTTTATATCTTTATTTTTATTTATAACGATTATATAATTATAAAACATATATAGTATAATGAAACTTTATTTTATATTTATATATTTATATCCTACCTTTTGTCCTTTCAAGAAACACAAGGTGGCTGACGTGGTCCTCCTCTCAGCTTTACTCTCTCAACAACCCTGTGAGGTGGTCAGGCTGCAAGTTACCCAGTAAGACTGGCCCAAATGGCAGAGTGGGGACTGGAACCAGGCCTCCGGAGCACCAGTCCTGCACTCTTAACTGCCGTACCAGACCTGAGCCCCAAAAAGCCAGCCCTGGGCCTCTTGCTCTTTAAATTGCTTGCTTTGCTTGGCATTAAAGTCCAGCTGCTTGCAGTGCTACAGTAGAGCTTTAGCTGGGATTGCTCTGGCCACGGCGCTCTGCTTTCATGGAACTAGGGAGTTTTCCTTTCCCGATGTTGAGATGGCGCAGGGACTGTGGACATCGCCCCTGAGCGTCCCTTTTGTGAGCAGGAGGCAGTAATGAGCCTGTGCTTTGGTGTTCAGGCAGGGAAGAAACATCGGCCCTCCAGACAGGAATCCTCCTTGCTTAATTCGCTATAATTCATTCTCTCTCAGCTCTTGGGCAAACAATATTATTTTTGTAACCATATATTTCAATTATGCAGAATGCTGTATGCATCTGTTACAATGCTACAAATTTGTAATCAATAAAAGCTAGCCGTTTCTCTGGTCCAGGGTCGTTTTGAGGGGGGTTCTGCTGTTTTTTTCTGACTCCAACTGATTGGGATCCTACCTTGCAGGAGTGCCTGCTGCACAGTGTCTTTAAGAGGCTTGCGGCTAAATGTTTTGAAGCCTAGCTAGCACATTTGCATATGATTGCAGTAATAAATAATCTCCTCCTGAGTGAACGTGGAGTTGGTATATCACCCTCTGGAAATAATTTTTTAAAAATCCTTTTGCCCCCAGCCAGTGCAGTAACTGTTAATAGAGGCACAGAGTGTCTGAAATCGAGACAAAGGGTATTTTTCTTTCCCTGTCCACCTCTAAAGAAATCATATGTCATGTCCACATTGCTAGGGATGTCCATGACTTGTAAACATGATATAATGGAGCAAAGCTCAGGGAATCAAGGTTCCATTTGAATGCCAGGAAGCATTTCCTGACAGTCAGGACCCCGAGGGTGTGGAATGGGCTTCCCCGGGAGGTGGCTGAGGCCCCATCGGTGTGGGTGTTCAAGGACAGGCTGGACGTCAACATGGTGGGCATGTCGTGAGCGGAGCCGGCTGGTGCCGGAGGTCAGACTAGATGGCCTGGGAGACCCCTTCTGACTCGCTCTGTTTCTATGTTTCTAATGCAAATCGAGCTAATAGTCTTCCCAAACTGTGTTTCATAAGATCTCGTGATTTCACGCATGCCCTTCATTTGGAGGACTTTCGTAACATCGCAAGGATTCCTGCATTCAGTGATGCAGCCAAGCTTGGCAAAGGAGGCCTTTATTGTAAAATTGTTGTTTTTTAAAAATCTTTTAGAGGTTCTTTGAAAATTTGAATCCCATGGGAAACACTCCAGAGAAAGAGTTCACAGACTATTTGTTCAACAAATCTCAGGAGATTGAGCCTCGGAATTGCAAGCAGCCCACTAGATACGTAAGTCTTTGGGGCAGTAGAAGATTCTACTTGAAAGTGCTTGTGTGTGATTTGCACTAAAAATGAGTGTGTGTGTGTGTGCTCCCTTTCAAATAAAGGTGCAGGTACTTGCTTATCTGAATTGAGAGGTGAAAGCAGCTGATTCGCAGAGTGCATGGAGACATGGTATAGGCCTTTCCTGTTCTTATAAAGGTGTGAATGAAGACTGCGGCTCTGTGGGACCTCTCCTTCCATTTTTGGGAAGAGATTCAGGATACAAGTAGGGCTTGGATGAAGACAGCGAAGGAAAAGAATGACTAGAAGAGGACGGCTGAAGCATTGAAGTGCCCTGAACTTTTAGATTTAAATAATGGCGGCACAAAATAGCTTATAGTATTAAATGCTGCTTCACCATGGAGAGCCCTTAATATTTGTATGCAGTTTTTAATTACACAACATGTTCTACACAGCTGTGCTTGCAAAGGTTCAGAAGGGTGTTTTGTTTTTTCAAAAGAAGGTTCAATTTCAAAGCAAAATGGAAATGTCTATCTGCTTCCATGCCAAAGAACATTTTAAAAGCCTTCAAACAAATGCAGTTTGAAAGCAGATGCTTTTGATCTGTTTGTAAATACCATATTTTTCGCTCTATAAGATGCACCTGAACATAAGACGCACCTCGTTTTTAGAGGAGGGATCCATGGAAAACTTCCTGATAATCACAGGCACATTCCCCATCACTTCCCCATGGGCTTCATTAAAAGATGGGTTGCCATTTGAAAACACACACCGACCTGTGATTAACAGCTCTCACCTGCGCCGGAGGAGGGGGGTGGAGCAGGGCGCACCAAGCACGTGCCGGCCAGGTGTGGTGCAGCCGGGCTGGCAGTGAGCCAGCGGTGGTCTTCCAGGCAGCGCGATGGCAGCAGGTCTTCCTGGGCGGTGGGGGTGAGCAGTCCGTCTCTCCGTGCGGCCGGCGAGTTAAAGCCCGGGGCTCCTCCTCCTCCTCCGCACTGCTCCCCCGAGCGGCACAGCTCTCACCTGCACCGGAGGGGGGGGGCGGAGCAGGGCGCGCCGAGCGCGTGCCGGCCAGGTGGTGCAGGCGGGCCGGCAGCGTCCCGGGTGTTGGGCGCACACACACATTCACTCTATAAGACGCACAGACATTTCCCCTTACTTTTGAGGGGGAAAAAAGTGTGTCTTATAGAGCAAAAATTACGGTATGTATTTTATTGTTAAACACAATATTGTTTAAACATGAAAGGCACTTTTCATAATGATTAAGCCTTATTAAACTGATTTGTTTCCTGTGCATAAGGCGAAATAACCCAAGGAAGTTAACAGAAGGAATAATGCAAGGGCTGTGAAATCGCATTTTCCTCTGTTTTTTAGCCCAGGAAAACGACATATTCTCTGAAATCTCCTGGAATACGGCCTAACGCAGGCAGGCACAGCTCCACGTCTGGCACGCTGCGGGGCCACCCAACGCCCCTCGAGAAGGAGCCCTACAAGATTAGTTTTAGTAGAATTACTGAAGCAGAACAGGAGTCTGCGGCCTCGGCACCCACCTCTCCAAGCATGCCCTCCACCCCGCCAGTGTCCGCCTCTTCGGAGCTCAGCGTGTTCCTCGACATTGACCTCAGCAGCTCTTACGGTGTGTGTTCCAAGTAGCTTTTATTCAAGCGGCCGCACTCACAAAGGGAAGCGGGCATCCCTGGTACAGATGGGATGGGGAGGCTGGGGGCTGGGCAGGGCTTCCTGCTCTTTCTGCGAATTCGATGAATGGGTTGGTGTGTTTTGAGTGTCGCCTCTCTGCCTGCCTGCCCAGCTCACTTTCTTCTGGCTTTTCTTTAGCCAGGTTCTCTCCTCTTCTTGTTTGTCTCTCCACCACCTTGAAATCCTGGCTGTGTTTTGGTTAAATTATTCCACCTGGGGCACAATTCTCCTAATTACCCTCAAAGAGCCCCCATGTCCGTTTCCCTCTTTCTTTTCTGTCTCTTATTGAGAATTTTGGGAAGGCGCGTGTCTCGATTCTCTTACAGAGTGCCTAGCATATCTTTAGGTGCTTTCTAACTTATGGGTATAATTGAAGTATAGTATATACTGTTAATTGTTATAATAAACGAAATGGAGGTATTATTGGTCTCCTGGGTGGTGTGGTGGGGGTACAGTGTTACTTACTTTTTTACTCATTAGTTTGGTTTTATGTGTTATAATATTGATATTTTGGATAGTCATATTTCAGATGTTTGTATGTATGTTTTTTTCTCTGTGTTTTTAAAAAAATTAAAAGCGGGAGGGAGGTGTTTTCTAACTTTAACATTAATAGGTCATGAGATGGTCTTGCTCCAGGTAGTCTAGCTTGGAATGGCAACATCCCCCCAATTCCCACCAGACTCCACAGCAGTCCTTACTCTAACATGTTCAAACCTTTGCAACCCCATACCAAATGCTCCCAACTAAAAAAATTATCCTCTGGTAAAGCTTATCTTTTATTTCAACAGCATAAGAAAGGTTACTGTTTTCTTTGAAAGATTTCTTCGTGTAGAAACTACAGGTCATTATCTCAAGAATACACATAAGCATCTTCTCCCGGTGTGCAAACTTGTTGCGCAAAACCTGTGCCTATAATCAAACACGCCTCCCCACGATCGCGTTCTTCCTCGTGCCAGCACGCGTCCAGCATGTTTTATTCAGATCCCCTAGAATTAAAATGAGACGCAGAGCGACATCTGTGGGGACACTCAGAGCAGCATCTGGGGAAGCACCAGCAGGCAGGCAGCAGTACAGAGAAGGCTTGTTTCCAAGGCTGTCCTTTTGGGCGCCACAGAGGGGCTTCTGCACACCTGGAAAATAGCAGGTGGCCACCTGGGTGACAAGGGAGCAGGTGAGCACAGAACAGCCTGGAGGAGCGAGGCGAGCAGCAGCGCATCTGTTCCGAGGCAGAGATGGGTAGCAGAAGCGGGGTAGCTGGAGAGTTTCCTAGCGTGGCGGCTCGTTCTAGGGGGTCTGTGGTAGTGGAATTCCAGGGCCAGAGAAACCAGAATGCTGGGCTTGGGCGTCACAAGAAACCTTCCTGGAAAGCAGAAACCATAGAACAGATCATTGTTTCTGGTTGTGGTTCCTAAAGGCCAAACACATGAAGCTGAATCCAGCAACTGAGCTCACACGGCAGGGTCAGTGGCGGTAAAAGGCTGGGGTGGCCGTGGTCCCCTGTGGCTCGCTTGCCTTCCCTTCTTGTGAACTGGGCCATTGTCAGTTATCCAAGGACAACTGTCGTTTATTTATTTAAAATATTTATATGCCGTCCTGTTCGCAAAAAGCCTCAGGACGGCTTACAGCATAAAATATAACATAAATAAATTCCCAACCCACACTGGCTGCAGTAAAAGACATAGAAAAGACAATGTTAAAACTTATTAAAATACTGTTTGAATAAAAAGGTCTTCGCCTGGCGCCGAAAAACAAATAACGACGGCGCCAGGCGGACCTCTCTGGGGAGCGCATTCCATAGATGGGGCGCCACAGCAGAGAAAGCCCTCCTCCGAGTACTTTGCCTCCTGATGTCTTTCACGGAGGGCTCCCGGAGGAGGGCCTCTGCTGCCGATCTCAAGGGGCAGGAGGGCAAATACGGAAGAAGGCGTTCCTTTAGGTATCCCGGTCCCAAGCCGTTAACTGTCATCCTGCCACCTGAGTTCCCCTTTACCAGTTAAGTACCTGCCAATCAAGCAAGTGTGTTGGTGATCCATGTTGAAGCGTCCTCTGGGAGCTGCACCTGTTAGCTGTGTTTGAGGGGCTGAGGGCCGCTCGGCTGGAGACCGTGACCTTGTCCTGATCGCCTCCCTGTCTTCTCGTTACAGGCAGCAGCAACAGCATCTTTGCTCCGGTCCTTTTGCCACAGTCAAGTGAGTATCTTGACTGCCTCTGCAGGATCCCTCGAGCTACCAGTACACTAATAGTGATGTACACGCATTAGAAGGGAACCGTACCCTTCTAGAGACACGCCATGCTGTGTAGAGAGACATGGGGCAGGTTGCAGGATCACAGAGCGAATATAAGCGACCAGAGCTGATTTTCCCTGCATACTCGCTGGTCACTGACCACCAAAGCAGCACAGCCACCCCCACCCAGCACAGGTTGTTGGGATGCCTAAATCCAGTGAGGGCTGCTTGAGTTTGGGCAGCGCTCTGAGCCGCAGCGGCTTGTTACTAAGGCAGTGCTAGACCGCGCTGCAGCTTAGCACAGTATCTGAACCCAGAGCTTCCCATTGTGGGCGGTTTTGCACAAACACACGCCCCGAGATCCCATGGCCCGTAACAGGTGTGCTCACGGTGGTTTGTCCTCAGCATGAATTTTTGCGATGTCCAGACCCAGGAGGACAGGAGTTCCTTGGGTCGTTGGAAACGGCTTGAGAGCAGCCACACCCTCACAGTCCCGCTGGGAGCATCACCCTCTTCCCCTCCACTTTATTGCATCCCTGTGGAATTTGTGCAGTTTTCTCCTCGGTTTTACTGTCCTGCTATAATATTTGCGCAGTTTCTCCCTGTTTTACTCTCTTGCCCTGCTGGGTCAGACCCACACTCCACCCAGTCCAGCACTGTGTTCACTCAGAGGCAAACCCGCTGCCCACAGGAGCATTTGAGCCGGAGGCGTGTGATTTTAACCACCTGTCTCTCCTTACTCACCTGTTTCCTGAGGGAAACTAGCCCTGTGGTTACCAGTCCTCATGGGGGAGCTGCTCCAGCCCCTTTATCCTTCCGTCCGTCCTTCCTTCCTTCCTTCCTTCCTTCCTTCCTTCCTTCCTTCCTTCCTTCCTTCCTTCCTTCCTAGTCTCAGTCGTCTTTGAATTTCCTAGCTGCAGTCTTCATTTGAATTGAATGACGAGTTACGGCCTCGTAAAAATGAAGTTACCTACCAATCAAACATGCTCATTTATTTCAGTTTTTCATCCAACGAAAATGGCCCTGTGTGCGTAAGATGCGGGCTAGAGAGGGTTGTTTCCTTCTTCGTGGTGTGGTGGTGGAGTTGGCCATGCAAGGCAGTAAAGACAGGAAGACAATATTGCAGGGGGGATAAAAATCAATGCTTTTACAATCCCCAGATTACATTTTTACAATGCATTTGATTTTTTGTGCCCAATAACTGATACCCTCCTTGTATGAATGAAAGGATGTGAATAATGTTCTGTCATTCAGGAAATGACATGAGGCATTTCAATGGGAAACCTCATTGGAACAGTGATTTAAATCAGGTCCTTTTCATGCTGGTTTAAATCAGTCTACCTGTTTGAGAAACAAGGAGAAACTGGGAGAAAAAGGAGAGCATGTACCCATTTTCTTAGGCCTTCATTTCAGTCCTCACTTTTTCCTGAATGTCTTAATGTCTGAATGTCTTTCCTGAATGTCTTTCCTGGACACATGTCTTAATTTCGGTGGATCGCTGCCAAAAGAGATTTTTTGTGTGCGCAGATTTATTGTTCACGAAGCCAGCCAATGTCACAGGTGCTCTGCTCCCTTACTGGAAATTGTGAAGCGCAGCCAGCTGGCTTCCGAGTTGCGTAGGGGCAGTCAGGAAGGGAGCCTCAGTGGTAAAGGGCCGCAGCGGTTCGGTGCCGGCTGTCTCTCATGCTTCTCTCTCCCACCCACCAGAGTCGTTCTTCAGCTCCTGCGGGAGTCTGCATAAGCTAAGCGAAGAGCCCCTGCTCCCTCCTCCGCTGCCTCCTCGCAAGAAGCTTGACCAGGACTCGTCTAACTCAAAGGTGCGCCTTTTCTTGAGATACCCTCCCTAGCGGAGGACGCCTCTAGATCGGGAGCAGAGCAGAGTTACTCCTCTCTGCTTACAGCAGGAATTCAGTATTTCCTTCATCTTTCCTTGGTGTCTGGCCAGGCCCTGCGCCAGCCCCTCCTCGGCTACAGCAGCCTTCTGAAGAGGAGGTGGCATTTGGCGGCGGGGGGTGGGGGGCCAAACACGCCACCTCAAGGCTGCGTCCCTCTCTCACGCCAGAACTTGAACATCACTGCACTCAAATAGGTGATGCGGATTTATATGTCCCCAGTTCGAGGTCACGGTTGGCGGAAGCTAGGAATGCAGGCTGCTGCCCTGAGAACCCCTTTCTGTTTGCAAGAGCACACCTGAACGATTTCTTTCCTCCGTGCTTTAGGGAGGCTCCAAATCCGACGACGATCCTCCGGCAGTGCCCCCCCGGCTACCCCCTCCCCCAAAGATACAGCCACGGGCCCCGGCGTACACCAGTCTCTTTGATCAGCCGCTGCAGAGCCCGCCGCCGCCGCCGCCGCCGAGAGACCCCCTGCCTGACACCCCTCCCCCTGTGCCTCTCCGCCCCCCAGAGCACTTTGTGAACTGCTCCTTCAACCTCCAGCCGCCCCCCATGGGGCGCTTCCACAGAGACCCCGACCGGCTCCGCGAAGCCAGCACGTGCCCCAGCTCGCCCAGCACGCCGCCCAGCACGCCGTCGCCTCGGCTCCTGCGCCGCTGGTGCGTGCTCAGCCCCAGCGCCAACAGCCTCGCCGCGCCCCCGGTCCCGCCGCGCCAGAACTCCAGCCCTCAGCTCCCCAAGCTGCCACCAAAGACTTACAAGAGAGAGCTCTCCCACCCCGCCTTGCACAGACACTCGTTGCTCGAGAACGCGGAAGCGCCGCAATGACCTTCCCCGCGGTAGTCCTGGACACTGGAAGCGTAGCTGTCGCGTCCCCACTCTCTTAATTTATTCCAGTAAGGCGAGTGTATCTGCGTCTCGGACGAGGGCTCCTTGCACCCAGCGTGCCGCTGGCCCGGACTGACCCTCCTGCCTCGGAGCGGCAACAGCGGCTCCCGCGACCCTCCGCCCCGGCCTTTGTCCCGCTTCGACCGCTCACTCAGGGCATCGGCAGCGCCGCCTTTCCCGCCTCTTCCTCAGTGCTGACGCTTTTGCCAGTACAAAGAATACTGATTTTTGCACTGTAAATTATGTATGACGCTAACTTTAAACTGACATCGGTTCATTGCACTGAGCCAGAACTGGTTGCTGGTGGGATTTCTACTTCCGAACTGGAGCACGAGCGGCCTTTTCTACCATGTATTTTTAATGGGCACAATCCACCGGGAAGTTACCCCGAGTCAGCCCCATTGAAATGAATTGACTTCGACTTCCCAGTGGATTGTGGCAATCGCTGGTGGACTTCCAACCCAAGCATGAACATGTATATCAGGTTCCTGATTTTTTAAAGCCTCTTTGGCTCCTTGCCTTTCAGAAAAAAACAGAAAGAGCAGGGTTTGTGAATGACCCTTACTGCTGTTCTCAAATGTTAGTCAATACCGTGTCTTAATTTCCATTGATTTTGCTGCTGAAGATGAAAAACGGCAGGTGACCGAAGGCGGGGTGTGCGGCCAGTGCTCCGGTTCCGTGAGTGAGATAGGAGCTCCCTCCACCAGTCGCTCGAGGACTGTTCGGCCTGTGCCAGGTTCAGTTGTGCCTTTTTTATTTGGGCAGAGCGGAGTGTCTTAAGCTAAATCGTTGCCTGCTGTCTCAGTGAACAAAGCTATTACGCCATATTCTGTACATACTCTGTTTATAGTGTATATTTACAGATTAATAGCCTGTATACATTTCTGTGATCCGAGGCCTCTTCTGCAGTCCCGTGCACCATATGCTGTTGTAAGTATTTTCCTACCTTCCAGGAACAAAACGTTGCCTTCCAGACTCAAAACAAATCCCCTTTACTTCCTCACTTCTGTTTCATTAAGGGGTCCCTTTTGGAAACACGGTGTTTAAACCAGCAGACGCCGAAGAACTTTATTTGGACTTTTTGAAACTTAAAAAACAGACCTTCCTTTTTCCAGCGAAACTCACAGTGTTTAGTCAAAGCTGGCACATGACACAGGTCTGGTTTAAGTACTGTAGAATCCAGAAGCCTTCTCTCGACTGGTCTGTGGCCTTTTACCGTGCTTTGTATCAGAGTTCTTAACCAGATTAATAAATCAAACTGGTCTTAATTTTTAAGAGGGTCTGATCAAATTATTTTTTTCTTACAAAACTTGTCAGTTTAGGAAGGGCATGCTGAATCACCTTCCTGTACTCATTTGGGCCAGATACTTGATACTTTGGTGCCAAAAGAAGAAACTCCAAGACTCTTGTCTCTTCTCACCCTGTTCCCCTTGATTGATAATTTACTGCTAATTATCAGCTCCCCCAATTGACAGGGGCTGCCTTACTCTGTAACAGCAGGCCTAGTTGTGATTTTCCAGGACTGGATTCAAGAGCAGGTGTAAGAGGTTACCTGATGGACTGGGGGACTTGTTCTGATGTGCATGAGGAGGAAGAGGGGAAAGCGCTTTATTCACATACTAGGTGGGCTAAATTATTTAGTTTTTAGTTGAATATGAATTTACAAAGGCAATCATGCAAGGATTAAGGAGAAAAGACTTGAGCCTGCATCATTCAGAGGAGTAATTCTTCACTGGTGTATTGGTAGTGCTCCAGGTTCCATAAGAAGGATGATGGGAACTGCTGCTCCAGCGTCCAGGAAACAGCTCCAGACTGAGGAATTTATACTGCCTTGCTGGCATATGTGGGAGCTTTGCAGAGTTATGTAAGACGTGTCCCTCTTCCTAAGGAGCTTGCTTTTTAAAACCGGAGGCAAAGCACCTGGCTTGGGAGTTGGGGAGGAGGGACGCGGCTTAATGCCAAAGTACTCGCGGATGGTCGATGCCTGGCATCTTTAGCCAAGTCAAGAACCACCCCCATCCTACCAGGCATTCCAAGGTAAGCGTGTTTCCGGCAGGTTCTGGGCGGGGGGAACCATCGGCCATTTAGATTATCGGCAAAAGCAACTGCTTCGGGGCAGATACAGGGAAGCCCTTCACACAACGCGCGGTGAACCAGGGACGTGGTGAAGGCCACCGCTCTGGCTCCTTTTCAGGCAGCCAGAG